ATTTCATTCTCATTTTTCTATTTATTTGTAATTTCTCATATTTTAATAAAATAATATTTTACATCATATCAGTAATTTTTCCTTTTTTTAACCACACATTCTCCATCAATTTACTATTCCAAAATACATTCTTCCAAAATAATGTGGCTCAAACACACCCTTAATGTAACACTATTTATTTGTTTAATTTATTAATAAATATAATATTTTAGTTCATTAAATACAATTTCTAATTTAAAATTTGACGTAAAACCATCTCTAATTGTCCACGCAAAATTTCATAATTTGGTGTAACCACTGGAGATGTTACCCCAAATTATACAAAAATTTGGTGTTTCTCATTGGAGATGGTCTTGAGCACCGTCGTCTAGTACCAACTTTAGACCTAATAATAAATCGATGATTTGTTTGAGCCATATTTTTTTGTCTAAAATGTATTTTAAAATAGCATTTTAATGAAAAATATGTGGTTGAAAAATAAGAAAATATTTTGAGTTTGTTTGTAATATTATTTTATTGAAAAATATGTGGTTGAAAATAAGAGAGAGAGAAAATGCATCTAAAAAATAATGTGCTCAAACAAGGGCTAATTATTTTTAATTCGACTACAAAACTACTAGTAGATGATAATGCAAGGGAGGCCATAAAAAAGATAATAGAGGGGGAAATTTTGGTTGTTTACAAATCTATAATATGGGCTCCTTTGAGCCCTTTTTATTTAAAAAAAAAAAATTGAATTTTGTAATAGTGTTATGATGAAAAATGTATGATTAAAAAATAAGAAAAAGTTTTGAGTTTGCATATAATATTTTATTAAAAAATGTGTAATTGAAATTGGGTTAAATCATTGTTCAAGAATACATTTTAATGGGAAAAAATGGGGTTCAAACAAGGACTATATTAAATATCATATCAAATGAGAATTATTTTTTAGACAATTTTAACCATGCTATAATTCAATAATTTTAATAATACCTTATTTTTTTCATTTTTCAATATACAATAAATATTACAAAATCATTGTTATGTATTAATTTCATGTTATTAAATCTCAATTAATTAAAATTCACAATAATTTAGACTCGAGGAATCTTGATTCGCTAAATCTTGATCTATATGAATCTAGAGTTATTGTAAATAAATTTATTTCTATTCATATATATTTATAAATTTTATGGGGTGTTTAAATTCATGTATTAACAATCAATTCTTATGTACCAAATGTATTATAAAAATGTTGCTCATTTATAATATTATCATCACAAAAAATTTGAATTATAAAAATTGAGTTTTGATAGTATAATTTTCTTATCTTCAATTCTTATTTTCTTTAGTTCGTTTAATATTCGTCAAATTATCTCAATAAATTGGTATCAAATATTAATTTTGCAATACTTATAAAGACCTTGTTTGAGCTCTATTATTTTAAAAAAAAATGATTTTGGAATAGT